GTTAAGATAAGTATATGTAATCTAGGATTTTATTGATAGTATATATTGGTTAGTATCTGTTGATATATTAGATATAGAGGCAATTATAAAAAGAGTATACAACTAGCTACTTATATAACTTTAGTTATTATCTAATTTAAGTAGTCTGCCTGAAGGTTCTATACTAGTTACTATACTTAGAACCTACTTATAAATCCTCTATTTAAACACTCTAATCTTATATTCATTACATTTTATTAATGACTTTGATAAACTAATAAAAATATATTATAGTCACTAAGTTATATTTAACTTTGTATTAAATTTATTAGAGTTTTTTGTATTCTATATTTATAGCTAACCTAATATTATTTTGATTTAAACTATTAATTGCAGTTAAATCTAACTATTAAATTGCTATACTTTTGTAAAGTTTATTCAAATCTTGGTATTCATCTTTTTGACATCTTCTTTATCACCTCCTACTAATTACAACTAAGAACTAACAAAATTTCTTAGACTTTTAATTCAGATAGCTTGGTATAGTATATCTTAGTATATTTTTCATTTTTTTTATCTGATGATTCTGATAGCCTAGTTGGTCATATGCTCTTCTACACATCTTATTATTCAATTTATCTGCCTATTCTTACTAAAGATGTTTTATAGGTTTTCATCAGTTCAACAGCACTGTTAAAAGTTTATATTACCTTCTTACTCAGGATTTTTAAATAGGCTTCTGACTCTATAGTTTTTTTACTTTTTGCACCTGGTAGTCTTATTGTAGGTTTATACTGAAGTCTTATACAACACTGATTATAAAATTTCTTTATATATATATAATATTATACTTCACATAGATGTTTTGAGCTTTCATTCAAGATAATGTGACTAAAGGTTACAGATATACTAATCTAACTAATTGACAAAGTCAGTTATTATAATACAAATATAATTTCTAAAATTTGTTATCTATGAAATTTGAACTTTAGATCTGCCACTTAAAGATTGACAACCTGATTACTTTACTAGATTACTATATTCTGCAAATATGATATTTAGTATAAAATCTGTATAGTAATATATAAATAAACTACTTAAATTAGACATTAAAAAAAAATATATAACTAATTGTAATTTTTAATATAAAAAAGCCTCTGTATTTGTGTTTTATAAAAACTTAAATAAAAATATTACTTTTTAAAAATAAGAATTTTAAGTTTTTTTTTGTTTTTACTAAAACTATTAGTTATTATGACTACTGTCTTTATTGTGATTTTAATTATAATTATATAACTTGTACAAGATAAGTGTACAACTAGTCACATATATAGTTTTTGGTTATTTATTTAAGTAGTTTGTCTGCAGGTTCTATATTAGCTACTATACTTGTAATCTGCTAGAAGATTATTTAATAAAACACTTTAATCTCTATACTACACCTGACAGATAGTGCACAAGTTCCTGTATATCAAAGTACTTTTAATCTAACTCTGATCTTCTTGTCTGTATATTCATTAAGCTATTATATATTTTAGAATATATTACCTAATTATAGAACTCTAGAAAGCCTTTTTGCTAACTAATTATTTATATTTAATATTTTTTGTTAATAAAACTTGCTCTTGCAAAATTTATTCAGACTTCAATACCAACTTTATAACATATTCTTAGTACTTATAGTATATATCTCAGACTTCTAATTAAAATAGCTTAGAAGAACTATAACCTGTCTCTAATATCTTAGAGTTTTGACTTTCAAGATTTTTTTTCTTTAGTTCAAAACTTCTGACAGCCTAGTTGATAGTATCTTTCATTCAAAATTCTTGTCTGCCTGATTCTTTTCATATTGGTATCTATTTTCTAGATTTAGTCTTTATAATAATATTATCAAAAATCTGTATTATCTCTTTACTTAGATCTTTCCAAATAGGTTCTAGCTTTCTAGTTTTACAGATTTACATAACCACAAAAACTTATCTTGGGTTTGCACTACTTGATGCTAGTTTGCATTTTTTGGTATAACTCTAACATTGCACAGATGCCTCATGACCTGCTAGTCATGTTAATACAATCATAGTTATAAGTATCTTATCTCAACTGATTAACAAATATTATTATTGTAATACTACCTATGTATTATATAAGTGATTATCCAAATTTTTGTCATTAGTGAGTTTTGAACTCACAATTTACTACTTGAGGATTAACAACTTATATACTTCACTAAATTATCATATTTCCAAGAATTTTAACTTAAATTTACAAAAATATAATGAAGATATAAAATTTATAAAAAAATAAAAATATATAGCAATAATAATTTAATATGCTAAAACAAACCTAAATTTATTATTTGTCTTAATTTTTTTTTTAGTTATTATTATTACAAATAAATTTTTATTTTCTTTTTATTATTATTTATAATATTATATTAATTAATTTTTTTTTAATATTAAAGTAAGTATATATAACTCAGAATTTTATTAATAATATATATTGGCTAACATCTGTTGATATAACAGACATAGAGACAATTATAGAAAGAGCATACAACTAGTCACTCATATAATTTTAATCATTGTTTAATTTAAATAGTTTGTCTGAAGGTTTTATACTAGTTGTTATATTTAGAACCTATCTATAGATTCTCTATTTAAATACTCTGATTTTGTATTTACTACACTCTATCAATAACTTTAATAAACTGGTAAAAATATAACATAATTACTAAGTCATGTTTAACTTTGTACTAAACCTACCAGAGCTTTTTATATTTCATACTTACAGCTAAAGTTCTGCAATTTGATTTGATTTAATCAAATATTTGAGTTTAAATTAAATTTAAATCTAAAATTTTCAAATCAAATCAAACTCAAATATAGTCAAATTTGATTTGATTTGACAAATATTTGATTTGATTTAAAAATTTATAATTGAATATTTAAAATTATAAATTATTTACTCCAAATTTTATTAAGACAATCAACTTTTTTATTATATAAAACTAGAAGTATTTTGTTTAGACAAACACTTACTTAAAAGCTCAAAATTGATTAAATATAGTAAAATTTTTCATAAATTAGTTTTTTTCTTTATTTATCAAAATTTTAAATTTTTTTGAAAATTAAATCAAATTTAAATATTTGATTAATTATTTGATCAAATCAAATCAAAGATATATTTGATTTGACCAAATTCAAATTAACCCAATATTTAATTTGATTTAGTTTTAAAGATCTCTACTTATAGCTGATCTAGTATTATTTTAGTCTAAACTATCATTTGCAGTCAGAACTAACTATTAAACTGTTATATTCTTGTAAGGTTCATCCAAATTCTAGTATCCATCTTTCTGATATCTTCTCTATTATCTTTTATTAACTGCAGCTAAAAACCAACAGAACTTCTCAAACTTTCAATTCAGATAGCCTGATATAATATATCTTAATATCTTTTTTCTTTAGTATTTTAGCAACCTAGTTGGTTATATACTTTTCTATAAATCTTATCATTCAATTTATCTATCTATTCTTATTAAAGATATTTTATAAGCTTCCATTAGTCTGACAATATCATTGAAAGTTTGTACTACTTTCTTATTTAGAATTTCTAAGTAGGCTTTCAACTTTATAATTCTTTTATTTTTTGCACCTAGTAGTCTTATTATGATTTTGTACTAAAATCTTATACAACACTGGTTAAACATTTCTCTATATATATGTAACATTATATTTTGCATAAATGTCTCAAGCTTCTATTTGAGATGGTGCAACTAAAGGTTACAGATATGTCTAATTCAACTAATCAACAGAGTTAATTACTATAATACAGATATAATTTCAAAAATTTATCATTTATAAGATTTGAACTCAATTTGCCACTTAGGAGTTGATAACTTGACTACTTCACTAGATTATCACACTTCTTATATTGATTAATTAAAGCAGACTTTAATCATAATAATATATAAAAAGAATGTTTTTATATTAAGTTCTTTAAAAAAAATAAAATAATATTATATATATATATATATATAACTTTAATTATATTAATACTAACTACTTGCAATATATGAAAAGATTATACAATTATTAGGTGTCAATAAAAGTAAATAGTTTGTAATTCTAATAGGATATTTTATAACAATAACACCTTGATGCTTATATAATGCATTTGTCAACTCAATAAAACAATTGCATATTCTAATAGTACTATTTATAGTATGTATAAACAAGTACTGATTTTTTTTTTGTATTTAGTACTAGATATTTATTCATATTTTTTAGCTAACAAATTAAATCTTTATTAACATTTTCTCAACCAAAACACAAGAACCTTCTTGCAATTTCTATATAATCAGAATGACAATATGCAAATTCATATAAATTAATATTCATAAAATTATTCTATATTCTATGTAATAAAATAAAAAACTTGATTGAATTAAAAGTCTAAGTTCTTGTAAAAATAATATTCTTAAGCAAACTGAAGCTATGTTCTATATAATTATTTGCATAATTACTACATAATAGTAAATTTAACTGAAAATAATGTGTTCAATATTGTCAGCAATTTTAAAGGTACTTATAATGTTTTGCAAGTAACAGATATTGTTGATAATAAATGTTTTTTAATTCTTAATAGTAGTTATTAAGATCAGTTTCTGTATATGCAAACAAAATCTTTTTCATTTAATTCATTATTGCTGTGATGTTCTTTGTTAATACCATGTTTTGAGCTGTATAACCAAAACCAGAATGTCTGCAATACATAAAACACCCCTGATGAAATATGATGAAATATAATGAAATATGATCGAATCTGATTATTCAGTAACACATTTATTACACATGTCATTATTTTTAACTTAGAAATTGTTTGATAGAAGCGTTTTGCAAAATAAGATGTATAATAGAAGTGACTAGAACGGTTAGAATTGTGTATTTATCACATTTAATGTATTTTTACGGTCAGATTCATCAGGGGTCGTTTCTTGATAGTGAATCAATTTACAGGTTTCACTGACCGTCACTCATCTGTCCCACCTGTAGTTTATTAACAATTCTATGATAAATCCCTATATTCGGATTTGCACCAACCGTGGATACCCACTGATCAACCGTGGTTACCCACCAGTTGAGCATCCAGATGATGACCGGTTGATCCATTGTTCAAACGCCGTGTGACCCGAATGACATTCTTCTAGATGGTTTCAACCATTGCAGTGGTAACAAGATGGCAATAAATGAGTTTCCCCAATAAATCAGATGTCAAAATACCATAAACAAATCCTTTCGAATATCTTGATAATCAAAAATTCTCGGTGAATAAAGCTGGTACCTGAGATAAATTCAGGATAATCAATTCGTTGTGATAGTAAAATTTTTCATTTACCAATTTATTTACCTCTACTGAACGAATATCAATCTGACAATCGATAAGATCATTACGTATTTGAACATCGGCATGCTTTTTGAATACTTCCATATCCATAATCATGCGATGTTTACGCGGATAGAGCTCCACGGTTTCACAATGAACGCATTCATTAGTTTTCCCATCTAGTACGAAAATTGTGGATTCACTTAAAGATTTGAAAAAAGATATTACAAATTTAATGAAAGATTCAATTCAGAACTTAATCAAGAAACATAAATTACCTTGTCCTGTGAAATGGACATGCTTCTTTAACTACCTACATAAATCATTAAATATAAAATATTCTTAATATTCTAAATATATAGCATGCAAATTTATCTTTTTTTTTTGTTTTACATTATTGCATTATTATCAACGCCCTTTATATAAAAATTAAATTAATTATAACAATTAATTATAATATTATAGTTGGATAAAATGCAAACATTAGATCCGTATAAAATTACCTAGCATCCAATACTTTGTCTAAATATATATTTGATACGTACAACATCACCGTATATGAATTAATTAACTATTTTGCATCTAATTTTCTCAGTGCATCTCCAACTAGGGATGGGTTCGGTCACGAACGGTCATAATCATTCATAGTCAATTTTCTAACTACTGAGATGATTTTTACTTTTGAGCTTTTAATTAAAGTTGTTCAGAATTAAATTCTGATCATCCCATATTATGTGTGGAAAGAACGATACCTTCTCTGGAACTCGGAATTTCGAAATATGTTATTGCTATGACCGGTTATTAACCGTCGGTTAATAACCGGTCATGAAATTACAAATTTCGAAATTCCGAGTTCCAGAGAAGGTATCGTTCTTTCCACACATAATATGGGATGATCAGAATTTAATTCTGAACAACTTTAATTAAAAGCTCAAAAGTAAAAATCATCTCAGTAGTTAGAAAATTGACTATGAATGATTATGACCGTTCGTGACCGAACCCATCCCTATCTCCAACTGAACGCGCTTCAGGTATTATTACAATAGTAATTATTTTTATTGGAGAATACGACCGATTCCATTTTGACTTTTTGAATTGAAAATTTATCTAATTTCTTAATTTAAGAATACGATCGTTAAGAGTATATAAAATGCCAAACTTGGTATAATCTTTCAATATTTCAAAGTGTTCTCTACAAAATAGATATGCCTTTTGCACGCCAACAACTGGAAGAAATTCTAAGGGTAATTCAATGGTGGTTGTTGCAAAGTGATAAAAGACACTACAAGGTTGAGGCGACGTTATAATAGTGTGGGTATGAAATAATCTCTAGTCGCAGAAAAATCATACTCGTGGCCTATCAAGAGTTATGATACGGAATCGTTCGTTAAAGCTATCAGCAAGAATGACGGCTTGTAACGTACTTTCGAAATCCAAATTTTTGTCAGAAGTTTTAGGTGGTGGCATTTTGAGTGATAGCTAAATCGTTCAATGATCATTTACTTTAATAAAATTATCCATAATTTTTGTATAAATTCCGATCGAATATTTGCTAGATTTTCCATAATTTTTCGACTGACTAACGCTAAGCGATAAATTCTATTTCTAATTTTTTTTTACCGCATTTATTAATACAAGTCGACCAATATCTCGACTTCGATACTATAGAATCAATTTCAATAAAGCATAAGATTGGTTATATTTTAACTCAAGACGTAAAATTTTCAACTTATTAGTAATAACGATATTTATTAACATTTTATTATAAACACTTATAAAATATATTATTTTCAACAAACTTTATAATTTTTTATTTCAAATATAATATTATCTATTTTTTATAACTTTATTAATTTTTTATTTGTTTATAAATACAAAAATTACAAATTTAAATATATAATAAAAAAAATATAGCGAGATACTTGGTTTCGGAGATTAATTCTCCTACTTGGCTTCGAAGACTAATTCTTCTACTCGTCCCAACCACCGCGTAGAGGTGTATCTCATGGTTAGGTCAGCTAAAAATAAAAAAACCTAATAAACGATAAGTTTTAAATTAAAAAAAAAAGCAAAAATAAAGATACAAAATACTCAGAACCAAGTCTAAATCTAAAAAATAAAATAAATATTGAGAACCAGTAATTTTAAACAAAAAAAAAAATACTCGTACTCGGAACCAACGGACAAAAAAATAAAATCTAAAAAAGTAATAATAAATAAAAGAAAGGATTAAAAATCATGTTTTTAATTAAATAAATAACAAAAAGAAAGATAAAATAACACTAGGAACCAACGGTCAACAAAAAAACTATCTAAAAAAAAAAAACAAATAAAAAACAGTTTAAAAAACAAAAAATGGAAAAAGATAGTAAAAGGTAATAAAAAACAAAAGGAGATAAATAAATACCGTAGTGAGAAATAATATGAAATACAAAAAAAAAAAAGTATTTATAAATATGTATTGTTTATTTTGTTTATTGACACGTTCATAACTTCGCGATTTTGATCGTATGATCAGCCATGATCACGTTTATACGTACTAATTTGGGGCCGTGTCCTAGGTTATTTTTTTGATGCATTTAAGAGTTGTGGTTTATAACAATATCAAGAATACGATTTATGCAATATGATTTTAATATTACGAATAGTACATTGTTTACATTAGCGTTAATACGTATACTAGTATTTTAGTTTGATACTACTTCCTTAACAAAGATGATTCTTCTGGAATACATCCAATGATTTTCTATTTGCCAATGATTCTTATAAAAAATAAATTATACTTTTATTCAATATATTTTCAATGTTCCATTTTTGCATCAAAGCAGTTGTGTGAATCTTATAATTTTGCTATTTAAAAACTTGCATAAAGAATTAATACTAGTAGATGTATAAATCAATTTTTGCCGATTTAAAGATTCTTTACATAGTAATTATAGTAATTATAGTAATTAAAGTAATTAAAGAGTATACCTTAGAAAAAAAACTATATATATATTTTTATTGGTAAAATAGTGATTAAATGAAGCATTTGCAAACAGTAAATAATACGCTAATATATAATAAGAAACTTGCTATTTAAATATGCACAACTTATACGTAGAAAGTAATGACCTTTAACAAGTTTTAAAAGTTTCCACCAGCTAATACCTTCAAATATATGTGAATAAATGACCATGATTATATATGGTAGTCATGATATCAAAGTTGGAGATGAAGATAAATGAATTACAGCTGTCGAGTTTTCATGAAATGGTCCATTATTTAATATTATATAATAAATGTCAACAGTGAATAATGAGGAATAATTAGTCAAACAATAGGAGGTAATTTTTTAACAAACTTTACAATTACCTGTTCAACAATAAAATCAGGTTCAACGGTAGTATTAAGAATATCCGGTGTTATTGATATCTTATCAGTAGCTTCAACATTTATTCTTCGTCTTCTTAACTCTGATTCATTTATTTCATTATCATCAGTAGATTCTAAT